ATTGTAATGTTGCAGTATGTGGTGGTGAATCTACATCTAATTATATTACACATACAATGGCCTCAAAAAGAACAAAACCTAATCCACTTTTATTTGAAAAGGTTGTTTTTTTGAAAAAAAAGAAAGAGATGGTTCTGATAGAATGTAAAATAATTAAATAAATTTAAAAAATTTCTGTTAACAATGAATATTCACTGAATATTCATTGAATAATCAATCAATGAATAAATAAATAATTTAATGATTGTACAACTACTATTTTTGAGCGCCTCATAAAAATCAAAATCCCCTGCTTCATACATTTCACGAATTAGTTTCTATAATAAAATGCCAGTTGCAAAGATAGCACCCTCAATGCTTTCTAGCGATTTTTCGCAACTAGCAAATGAATCTGATCGAATAATCAAAGATGGCGCTGATTGGTTACATATGGGTACGTAAAAAAATAAGAATTACTATTTTTAATGTATTATATAAAAATATTAACAAACATATACTATTTATTATTAAAGATGTGATGGATGGGTAAATTATATTTACTTATTATTTTTATTTGGCATTATACAATCATTAAATTGAATTAATTGTATAACAAATGATTAAATAAAGACACTTTGTTCCAAATATTACTATTGGTGCTCCAGTTATTCAATCTCTTCGTAAACATACAAATGCATTTTTAGGTGAGAAATAATAAAATGTGTATGTGAATTTAATACGAATGCAATTGATTGATTGACTTTTTAATTATACAGATTGTCATTTAATGGTTGATAATCCTGGAAAGGTTTATTTTTTAATTTTTTGAAATATAACATAACAACAACAACAATAAATGTTTATAATAATAATATAATAATAATAATGATAATAATATTTATTGATAGTGGGTTGATGATTTTGCAAAAGCTGGTGCATCTATGTTCACCTTTCATATAGAAGCAATGGAAAATCCTGAAGATATTATTGATAAAATTCATAAAGCTGATATGAAAGTTGGAATTGCCATAAAACCAAAAACTCCAATAGAAGCTATATTTCCATTTGGTGACAAGATTGATATGTGTTTGGTAATGACTGTTGAACCAGGTTTTGGTGGTCAAAAATTTATGCCTGAATGTATGTCAAAAGTAGGTGTTATTATTATTTTGATATTATTATTTATTGTTATATAAAATAAAACAAATAATAATAATAATAACAACAGGTAAAAACATTAAGAGAAAAATTTCCTGAACTTGACATTGAAGTTGATGGAGGTCTTGCTCTTGATACAATAGATCAAGCTGTTGAAGCAGGTGCAAATGTTATTGTTGCTGGGACTTCTATTTTTAAAGCACAAAGCCCCAAAGATGTGATTTCTACTTTTAGAGAGAAAATCAATGCTGTACAAATTAAATCTTGATTATTTGTTGTAGTTTTATTAGTGATGTGATTTTTTTATAAATGACTTTGTTATTTAACATTTTTTAATAAAAGAAATTAGGCCATTTATCACTTTTCATTATATATTTATAATTTTTTTGCAAGAATTGATGTTATGTAGTTTTTTTTTTTAAATTTATTAGTAAATAAATTTTTAAAATTTTGTTTGCATGAATTTGTTAAATCTCCCTGACTAGGATTGGATCTTTTCAATATTGAGAGAGTGTTGTTGGAGTGAATCTTATTATTAAAAAAATTATAGATTTACCTTGGGCAAAAAAGAAAAAAAGCTTTGCAAGTAATTATCATTTATATTACATATTTATGAAAGGCTATTTCATTTTAATGTTTTATTTAATAATTGGATTTAAATAAATTATATAGGTTGTTGTTTTTGAAAATGCTGTACAAAAAAACAATTACTACAGAGTTAATAACAAAATTAGTTGATACCAATTCATTTGGCCAGCAACAGAACTTTTATGTTCTTTTTTAAAATTATTTGTTGATATGTTTAAAATATTTGAAAGTGATAAACCAAATTTATCATCAGTGTATAATGAGTATGTAAAGTGTAATTAATTTTATTATTTTATTTTATTATTTTTTGAAATATCATTACTAAATATCAATTAAATAAATACAGATTTATTATTCTTGGGAATGAAATTTCAAAATCAATGATTCCTATCAAGGATGAAGTTTTGGATATATACAATCATTATAATGAAAAATTATATCATCCGGCCATTGTTATTGCTTATTTTTTTCAATCCTAGATTTAAAAGTTCAACTAACACAACTACAATAACAAAATGGTCAATTGGTTGCTCAAATTCAAGTTAAAAAATGACCTTGATTGAAAATAAGAAAGTAATTTAAAGAATATTGAGGAAGCATTTTCTTCTATATAAATGAAATTCATTCCAATTGTCCTTTAAATGAAGTTAAAGAAAATATCCTGGCTTTCAATATCTTATTGATGATAATCCAACAATAATAAAAAAAGCAGCTACAGTATTACTGATAAAAATAAGACTTACATTCTTCCTGATTACAAACATAATCATAGCACTACTGAATCTAATATCTATCATGTTAAAACTATTGTCTCTGATTTAAAAGATGAAGATTTTGCAACAATACAAAGAAAATTATGATGATAAATCTGTTTGATGATGAATAACAGATATAACTTTTAGGTTTTATAATTGTTATGATTTATGTTTTCAAAAGAATTAAAAGGAAAAAATAAATCAATATTATAATAATAAGATTATTTTCCTTCTAAGGATTTTTGCTTTTGTTGGACAATAGCACACTTTCATCTTGTTTTCTTTTCTTAATGTTCACGATTTTTCCTTTTTCTTGGTAGACTTCATAAGTAATACTTTCTTTTCTTAAACAGGCTTCAAGTGTCTGAGTATTTATTTTGAAAATGTAAGGAGCAATTGTTTCACCTTGTACTTCTTAAAATACTTTTGATTGTACTATAATTCTTCGGTTCCATAGTAGATCTGATGTAAGTTAACTTCATATTAACTATTTATATAGAGGTGATTCTATATATCACTTAATATTAAGAAGGTAACAAATGGGTGATTTTAACATCACTAAATTTTGATCCTGAAATTCTTGGCAATACCAATATTCGTTCACTTTGGTTTTTTTTGCAGTATGCCCCATATTAATGCAGAATTCTGAGGTAAATCTTTACTAACATAAGTTACGATTGACACGAATAAAATTGGTGTCTACGACTAACTGCTTGCGCTCGATATTCGTGACCATGTATATAGACCACGTGACACAGAAGATCATCATGTAATTGGTCACCAAAATTTGAGCCCTGAAATTTTGAATGTTTACTTTGTCTTGTTGCATATAAAAAAAAATGCATTTTACTCTTAAAGAAGATAATTATATAGTTATTGAAGTTGGATCTTGGAGAATCAAAGCTATAAGAGGTGTAAGCGATACCAATAGACCTCCTACTGTGGTAAGCAAAATTAATTATAAATTAATAAAAAAAAAAATAAGCATAAAACAAAAATTTATTAATAAAATGGCTAGTCCAACTCAATCAACAACCAAAAAAAAAAACTATATACATATATATAGTACCTTCCTACTGAAGTTGGTAAAAAAATCGAATTTGATAATAATGACAATAATAGTTTAGATGAACAACAATTATTATCAGAACAAACTCAATCACCTGAAAACTTTCCAATCAAAGATCATCAATACATTTGTGGTAATCAATTAAATGAACAAATTAATGAAAACAATGATATCATTATTTCTTTTCCAATTAAGCGTGGAAAAGTTGAAGATTGGGATCAATTAGAAATATTATGGTTAGTTTTAATAAATCAATAATAAACACACACACACACACACATATATATGTATGTATGTATATGCAAATACATATATTAAATTTTCTTCCAATCAAAAAAGGCGTCATTTGCTTTTGAAAGAATTAAAGGTCAAACGATCTCGTAATGAATGCCCAGTATTGTTATCAATTCCTGATAGTTGGAACAAAGAATGTTTAGAAAAAATTGCACATATTTTTTTTGAATCATTTAATGTTCCAGGTCTTTATATAACAAGTAATGCATTGATGTCACTTTATGGCTGTAATAGCATTACTGGTCTAGTGATTGATATTGGTTATGGTACAACAGGTTAGTGATTTTTTAGTGTGTGTGCTTTTAAATTTTGTAATATTTTTTAATTATATTAATTTGATAATGAATAGATGTGACACCAATATTTGAGTGTATGGTTCAATATCCAGCAATTCAAACATTGAACATTGCAGGACAAGATTTTGATGAGTATTTTCTTTCATTGTTATTATCAGACACACAATTTTTACAGGAATATGGCGAGACTCCTGATATCAATTTTGCAAGGATGCTTAAAGAAACAGATATTTGTGAAGTTGTATTAGATCTTAATACAATAGATGAAAATTCTAGAAAGGAAGTTGAATATCATGGCAAAAAGGTTGTATATTTTTATTGATTATTATTATTGCTGCTGATTCAATTTATCATCACTATACTAAAATTAAATTATTATCATCACTAAAACCCCTACTAATGTTGTTGTTATTATTATTACTACTGATCATAGTTTACTATAGGTTCAGAAAGGTTCAAGGTGGCAGAACCATTATTCAATCCAAGCTTAATACAAAAAAAAGAATATTTATCATTACCTCAAGCAATTTATCTATCAGTTAGTAATTGTGAACCAGATAAACGAGTTTTATTATGGGATAGTCTTTTATTAACTGGTGGATCAATTTGTTTAAAAGGTGAGATATCTTTTAAATATGATTATATACATAGATTATTAACACTTTTTTTTGATAATTGTTGATAAAAATAATATAGGACTTAAAGAACGACTTGATCATGAATTGTCGTTATTTGTTTCATCAAGTGAAAATATAGGTGAATTTCAACTAAGAGATTTTAAATTTTTGAGGATTCCGGAATATTATCCAAATCTTAAAGATAAACAAGAATCTGCAGGATTTTTAGGTTCTTGTATTACTGCAAAGGTAATTGTTATATTAGTTAGTATTTGATATTTATACAAACTAATATATAAAACTTGATTATTTTCTAATATTTACACACATCAATATATGAATATAGCTTAGTTTTCCTGATCCAAAAGGTTTCATTAACAAAATAGATTACAATGAGAGTGGTCCATCTGTTGCTCATACAAAAAGTTACTAAAAATAATTTTTTTAATCAGACTTGATAGGTTTGATATTTTAATGCCAATTACTGTAGATTAGTGTATGCAAGCAACAATTAGAATAAATAAATGAAATAGTCAAACGATCATATCAAAGTTGAATTTATAGAATTGTTATTATTGAAATTTTAAATTAAATAGGGCATAGTGAACAAAGCATCAAAAATAAATTTAATTTGGATCTGAGCAAAGAAAATTTTTATATGGGTTATCTAGATGGCTGACTAATTTCATTTTGTAATGTTCTAAGATAATTGAATTAAAGTTATGCTATCTCCAACCTAATCAATCCATTATTATCATTATTATTACATTAATAGTCTCATTATGATTAGATGATTTGTTTATAAACATTCCATATCACCCATCTACTCTAAATCTACAAAACTAGAATGATATGATATATTCAACATTCAGCATTTTGTCATACCAATCCAACATCAATCATTTGTTATCATGATAAGGAATCTTAATAATTACCCATCAAATATAAATTTCACTCTATGTTTGATTTCAAAATATCAATATATTAGGTTATTTTGCAAAAATAAAAACAAGTTTACTCTGATTATTATTAACCAACAGCATATTTCCTTCAGGGCCATACCAAATAATGCTTTTGTTTATTAATGCCTGCTTGTCCATCTCGCATTCCAGAAAAAAAGAATTTTCTTTATACAACACTGCATGCTTTGTGCTTCAGTTGCAAAGAAAAGAAACCAAAAATCGAGTGTATTAATGAGTAGGTATTATCAAGTTCTAGTTATTAATATAAAATACATTTATTTATGATATACCCAGCTGAAGAGTCGGAAATTCAGAGATAAAAATTTCAAAATTGAAATTTTTTTCAAGTGAAGAAATATCTTATTTTTGTTTAAACCAAAGAAATTGATAACAAATAATTAAAAATTGATAATAAATAGAACAAAAATTGTCAGCGACTAACTTTTTTATTGGAAACCCATTGGATTAATGATCAAACATGTTACATCAATATAACAAATTATTATGTGCGGATTTTTTAGTATCTTTATCATGTATTTCAACACATTGTAAATGTTGACAACAAAATTCAACTAACAATATATTTTTTTGAAAACATGAATTATAAAAAGAAATTATTAATTTAATAATAAATCGAATAACTTTAACCATGATAACTTTTTTTTCATAATAAAATTAAACAAAATTTTTAGTGCTTAAATCTTCTATAATAAATCTATAGAGTTTTTTCCCCTATCTCATTTGGTTATAAAGTTTTTCTATTAGCAATCTTTTTTCAATTTCTTTAGAACATATAAAAAAATTTTTTTTTTATTTGGCAAGAAAAAAAGAAAAACCCCTCTCTAGCTTAAAAGCTTGATATATTTTCTATGATTTCCCTCGGTTTCATGTTTGTATCTCTTTATTTGAAGGCTCTGATACAATCTTTATTTATATAGTTTTTATACAGTGCACAAAAAAAGTTTTCAGAATAAAATGTATTTCAAATAAACACAATTTTCTTTTGAAAGATTTTAACTGAAAATCTATTTGATAATGCAAACAATGTCATGGAACCATTGGATCTCTCAACAAGATAATGACCCCAAGTATACAGGTAGGGATACTTAAAAACTTCTTGCACAACACTGTCCAAAAATGTTGGATTGCCATCAAATAGCCCAGATTGAGAGTTTGTGGCAAATTTTAAAGGGACGTGTTGAAAAGCAAGCCAATAAAGTGTTAATAAAAAAAACCAGTTACTGCAGAAAGTTCCTGTGAAATAATTCAGAAAGAATGGGAGGGGATCGACAAAAAAATTTAATTCATAGTACAGTCAAAGTTTGTTATAATGGATCTTGTTCTCATTATAGTGGATTTTGTCTATAGTGGACTTTTTTTATTTTCCCAATCCACTTTATAATAAAATTTGTTTGTTATAGTGGACGACTTAATAAAATCTCTTTATTGTGTATAGTGGACTTTTAAAAAATTTGATAGAGAATTATGTTTGTTATAGTGGAAATCATGTGATTTACAGCAATCTTTTACATTAATTCGTAATCCGTGAAACAACTGCAAAAATTTGCCGATCATTAATATGTTTTTGTGGTGATAATAAACATTAT